GGAGCACACTGACCAGCAGGGGGAAGCTCCTGCATTGAGCATCTGCCCCCTGGTGGTCAGTGCACGTCATAACGACCGATCATTCTGCCGTTTGGTTGATTTGCATATTAGCCTTTTATTACATAGGATAGGTTATAATAGGAGTTCCTCTTATTTTCCTACTTCATTACCTGTGTCCCCTTCACCTCCCTCTGTCACTTGGTCTTGTGAGGGAAGGTTCTAAGCACCAGGCCACAGGGGCACTGGGAATAAATGAGACCACCAAGGTGGTGACAGCTAGTCTAGTTGCTAACAGGAAGGCTGCACCCATGGCCCACAAATTGGCAGAAGGGACCAGATAGTTTTTTCCAGCCTCCTCTCACCAGTGGGAAGCCCCTGATGTCACGAGTGAGTGTGGCCTGGCCAGTGTGGCTCAGTTGGATAAGCGTTATCCCATGCGACAGGAGGTCACCAGTTTGATTCCCGGTCAGGGCACACGCCCCGGTTGCTGCGGGCTTGATTCCCAGTCGGGGGCATGCATGAGGTAGCCTATCACTGTTTCTCTCTCATCAATGTTTCTCTCTCTCTCTCCCTCTCCCTTCCTCTCTCTGAAATCAATACAAACATATTAAAAAAAGAAAAAAGAGTGAGTGTGGTCCTTGCGGCCCCCTGTGACGCAGAGCCCCGGGCCCTTGGCCAGCTCTGCTTACTGCAGAGGCCAGGCACACCGCTCTGGTGTTCTCTCTTCATGTTTTCCCTTTCATCTCTGTGTTGCTGCAGGGCGAGTATCAGTGTGAAGCTACTATGACATCTGAACCCTATTTTTTACTGACTTTTACAAAATAAGAGCAAAACAGTGAAAATTACCATAATGAATAAACATGATGTAAAAAGTGTCAATGCTGTCAAAGTTTAACTGCATGAAAGACAGTGCCACCGAGCAACACCTCAGAACATTCATTCCTAATGTCCTATCAAGTCTGACTTCACTATACACAATAATGACTTAGAGATGCGAGCGTTTCATACACATAGATGACACTAACACCAAAGTATAAGAGGTGAAAGTACCTTTAGTTAACAAAGTACCTCATATATTTTATAGAAGAAGGTGTCAAACCTCCTTCTATACATCAATTCCCAACCTTGCCAGAATCAAAGCAATGTACATCAATCACATTGTTTTTTTTTTTGTTTTGTTTTTAATATATTTTATTGATTTTTTACAGAGAGGAAGGGAGAGAGATAGAGAGTTAGAAACATCGATGAGAGAGAAACATCGATCAGCCGCCTCCTGCACATCTCCCACTGGGGATGTGCCCGCAACCCAGGTACATGCCCTTCACCGGAATCGAACCTGGGACCTTTCAGTCCGCAGGCCGACGCTCTATCCACTGAGCCAAACCGGTTTCGGCCACATTGTTTTTTTTAAGCTGCATGTAATGCCACCAGTCGGCAGTAGTGTAGGCAATAAGCAGTTAATTAGAATTTTGGAGCCAGGTAGTTTCAGGTTTGGTGCCGCACACTAATCTCTTTAACCCACCAATTCCACAGTACATTTTTCAATGTAGATTCCTTTCTCTAAAATGCTCCTCAAACTACTCTAAATTTGTGAGCATATAAAAAGACATTTTTTTCTTAATCAAATGGAGGTTTGGAGAAGCTGAGATTACAGGGACAACAATTCACAAGGGAATGTCCATAACTATTAGGAAAGCCCCAAGGAGGGAGTAAGAGTTGCAATTTTTTCTAACAGACCTTCCGAGTGGATTCAAGTCAATTAAATATGTACTGCTTCAACAAATATTTAGAAGAGGTCATCACCTACCTTCTTTTTCACCCCGGGCACTGCCCACTAGGAATCTGGACACTAAGGGTGTGCTTGATAAGGACAAACAAGTAGAAATGAAAACGCTCTGAGTGGGTCTGATCTGTAAAAGGTGTCCCCATAATAAGCCAAATGCAATCATCAATAGTGTCATATAACATGGTCCTTGTAAGGATATCTTCCACACCTTAAAGAGAACACATTAATTTATACATTTTAGTGACGACAGACCATCTCTTGACTAGCATTATGCAGAGCACGTGCATACATACTGCCCAGTAATGGGGCAGGCCTGAAATTTTGCAGTAGATACATCAGCACCAATCCAACATCGTAATGTTAACACAATAGAGATAGTAAACACTAACATAAGACCTTCCCAGGTCTCGGTATTGTTACAGGAACTAAACAAGCATGTCTCTGTGTATATACATGTGTGTGTGCACATAACTTAATCCTCAGAACACATCTCAGAGGTAGATATCATTGTCCCCCCCATTTCTAGATGAAAACACCAGACCACAGAGGTTAGGTGATTTGACCGGGTTCCATGGAAGACAATGTGAGGACATAAACCCAGGCAGCATGGCTTGATAATCAATCACAAATTGATTAGACATCTTGGTATGCACTTAACACTGCACTAAACATGATAGATAATGTGAAAGAAATCAGGTTTGATTCTAACCCTGTGGGGTTTTCAATCTAGTTGAAGAGACCACATAATAAAAACTGATATTTATACAAATGTGAATATTACATATTAACAAAAGAAATTAACCTGAAACTCATCCTATTCTACGTTAAAGGACTTGTTTTGTTCTCCTCACTGCACCCTCCCAATTAAAACTGATTCCCTCATCCAGGCCCTCTACTCAAAGAGCTCGTGGAGGCCCAGAGGAACGGGGCAGGAGAGGCATGGCTCAGCGCAGCTCTGGGACAGTGAAGCCAAAGGCAAACGCTGAGGCCCCATCAGCTGGCCAACCTCGGCTGTGTCTCCACACATCTACTCACCTTTGGGTGACCTAGAGAGTGTGAGCTTTTCCTTCCCCTGCTCTGGTTCTTGGTTAAAGCAATACTTCTTGCAAAACCAACGACATTTTCTTTGGGAATCAGGGCAGCTGGGAGGCTCTTCCTAGGCTGGTATTGATTTCCTGCTGCGGCCAAACAAGCAGAAGCCAACCCTAGCCTCACCACAGCCATGACCGGCTGCCAGCCTGCTGGCCCACCTGTTCAGGAAATCAATTACAGGAGCCTCCCAACTCATAAAGTCCCAAAGGAGGGAGACCAAAAGAGGTGACTGAACTGAGTGCTCACTCAACTGAGTGCTCGGCCCTCCATGCAGAGCCAAATCTATCTTCTGCCATGTGACTCTGGTCCCCCAGGCCCCACTCTCTCCTTCCAGAAAGACACAAGTTACCCCACAATGGCTGTTCCTCAATAGTTCAAATTTCATGTTCTTGACTTCTTATATTTGGCAGTGATGGTATCATAAAGCGAATCTCTTTTGAATCATTCTTCCTCTTCCTGTATATTACAGCTAAGGAGCAATGAAGGACCAGAGCAGACCCACACAGCCAGCTGCAGCAACTAAGGAGGCCGAGCATGTTGGACTTTAGGGCTCACAGGTATCAGCAGCCCCTTCTGTAAGGAGTGTTAGCCCTCAGTTAGAGTATTCCTGCCCACACGGGACACCTGGAGTTCAGGCCTGAACCTGTCACTGACTGGCTGTGCGCCTTGAATAGGTAACAATCTCTCTTCTTTAGTTTCCACATCTGTAGAGAAAAGTGAGACTAAATAATTTCTGAGGTCCAGAGAGAACCTTAGACTTTATTGTCAGGTGTCTCGCTACACTTTGGTCTAGAGCAGTGGTTCTCAACCTTCCTAATGCCGCGACCCTTTAATACAGTTCCTCATGTTGTGGTGACCCCCAATTTCATTGTTACAAATTGAACATAATTAAAGCATAGTGATTAATCACAAAAACAATATGTAATTATATATGTGTTTTCCGATGGTCTTAGGCGACCCCTGTGAAAGGGTCGTTCGACCCCCAAAGGGGTCGCGACCCACAGGTTGAGAACCGCTGGTCTAGAGGATTGGAATCTATTTAGCCTGAGAAGCAAGGTATGGAGGGAACGACAGAAAAGACCCAAGGGAGCATCCTTCAGAAACTTCCTGTCCAATGTGGGACCCTGCCCTCACAGAAATGCAGGTCCTCAGGCTGCCACATCTGTAGCTCTAGGTCAGCAGGAGCCCCAGGCCACTCCTCGGACATCAGAGTCTAAGAAGCACTGACAAGAATCCTCTCAGCCAAGACCCTGCTCCCTGTGCACCCAGATGCACACATCAGCCTAAACTGCCCTCTCCAGTTCTTCCTCTTTCTTTTCCTAGGACTTCCATTCACAACTCCCCAAAGGGCAGGGACCATGCTGACTGTATACATTGCCTTATACTCAGAAGCTACCAAAGGACTGGAACATCACACCCAACAAGTGTTTGTTGAGAGAACAAATAAGGAATAAAAGAGAACAAAATACAACTCTTGCCTCCATTATTTTACAACTTATTTAGAGAGACGAAAGCTGGTGAACTATTATGATATAAAGCTAAGAGAACAGTTTAAGTGAAGCTAGAAGAATGAAGTAAGGCAATGGATGATGACTTACAAATAAATGACTCAACCAATGGTACCAGTGGGCAGAACAGAAAGACCACAGCTTTCCTCAGCGACAAGAAATAAGTCGTTTCCAGACTTCCATGTTTTTGAATAGTTTCTAGTCAGACCTTTAGGAGATTTCACCGAAGACCTCGGAGGGCCCTTCCAGCAATTATTATTTCGAAAACCCTATTCAATAATTTTCTACCTTGACAGGAACACCTGGGTAATCAACCCACACAGCAAAAGCGCTATCAACTGAGAACGACTACACTAGTCCCTTCAGGTGCTCTAGCATTTTGCCAGTTACTTATATCTGAGAAATAAAAAGAAATGTGTTAATTAATAATGCAGTTGATTAAGAAGATATAAGTCTTCTGCAATCCGAGCCCATGGGCCTAGAAAGGGATAGGATGCATTCCTGGTGCATGTCAAGTTTCAGGGCTGCCACACGGGGGATTTGGGGACTGGTAAGTCAGGATCCACGTCAGAGTTGAAGGGACATTACAGACCCCAGCTCACAAGACACAAAGAACACTGCCCAACGTCACATGTTCAGTTGCTAGATATTAGTGGGGAGGACAGATGAAGAGGTGGAGTACAGGGGATTTTTAGGGCAGTGCAACTGTTCTGTGTGACAACACCATAATCTGTAGATGGACAAATGGAGCTTTCAATAGAAAAAAATGAGGCCAAAGAAAACAAGGTGAAAGAATAACAGGATGAACCAAGAAGACAAATGGGAAGAGAGGTCAGCAAAATGATAGCCAAGTCATGAACAAATGTCAACAGTAAATAAACCAAAACCATATTATGTTAAATTGGGGGCAATAACACAGATTGATAAATCCTTACCTTTCTCAGCTTTTCTGGGGAAAATTCTAAGCCAACAAGAAAAAGAGTGAAAAACACACCAAATTCTCCTAATGTCTCCACTTGCACAATAGACTGAAAAACAAGAAAATTTTCAAAACATATAATTTAACATATTTAACACATTAAGTATATTTACCAGAACATCTTGTACTAACATAGGGACTATCCCCAAATATTTTTAAAACAAGTAATTCTTTGAATTTCCTCTATCTGAGATAACCTGGACTTCCAGATTATAGTGGGGTTTTTCCTTTTTTTTTTTTCTTTCTTGATTAGCTGGAGGAATCATTTTATGTTCTAAGAACTAGCTCATGAATTCACCTGTTTTAAAGTTCATTAACTGCTGATCTGTTATCTTCATTAGTTCCTTTCTTTACCTTTCTTTGGGGGATGGGGAGGCATTAAACTTGAGTTTAAGGATGAAGTAATTCAGTGGTTCACTCTCATTTGGGTTTCGGCGTGACTAAGTGTGTGAATTTTTTCCTGAGTACCACATTTGGTCATATCCCACAGGTTTTGATATACAGTGTTCTTAGGTTCTATATTTATTATGGTCCTTCATTTGCTACTTATTTTTAATGTTATTACACTACTATAGTAGATAATTTTGTTTATACTACTATATTTGGTACTATTTATATTATGTATTTACATTTGAGATTTTCATTGTTCATTTTTTTAAAATGTTCCCTGAACATCTGAAAATAAAGTACAGGCTCTCATGCATCTGTATGTTGTCCTGACCCCAGCACACTTACTCAGTTTGTCAGCTATTAACATTATGAATCCTGCCCTCTTTATTGGCATCTCTCCTCCTTTCAATTTTAATTTCTTAGTTGCTTTCTTTTTCTTTATTAAGGTATACATATGTGTTCCTTATCCCCCCAATGCCCCCCCCACTCATGCCCTCATCCCCCTGGTGTCTGTGTCCATTGGTTAGGCTTATATGCATGCATACAAGTCCTTTGGTTGATCTCTCCCCCTTACCCCCACCCTCCCCTACCTTCCCTCTGAGGTT